ATCCTGGACTCGGGGGGGCTCCTGGTGGCCATCGAGCACAGCAGCCAACCTGTCAACGTCCTCAGGTGAGTGGGGACACCCCCACCCCCCCCCAAGTGAAGGGGGAGGGACCTCGAGTGAAAGGGGACGGAGCCCAAGCGAAGCGGGAGGGGTTGGGGAGACACCACCCAGTGCAGTGGGGTGGGGGGGCAATGGGGTGGCACCCTGCTGGTGGTGGTGGTGGTGGTGGTGTGGAGCCAGGCTGGGAGAGTTGGGGTGTTCAGCCTGGAGAAGAAAAGGCTCCAGGGAGACCTTAGAGCAGCTTCCAGTGCCTGAAGGGGCTCCAGGAAAGCTGGGGAGGGACTTGGGACAAGGGCAGGAAGGGATGGGATGAGGGGGATGGATGAAAAGTGGGAGAGGGAGATTGAGGTTGGAGATGAGGAGGGAATTGTTTGGTGTGAGGGTGGTGAGAGCCTGGCCCAGGTTGCCCAGGGAAGCTGTGGCTGCCCCATCCCTGGGGGTGTTGAAGGGCAGGTTGGATGGGGCTTGGAGCAGCCTGGGCTGGTGGGAGGTGTCCCTGCCCATGGCAGTTGGGACTGGGTGATCTTTAAGGTCTCACCCAACCCATTCCATGATTCCCTCATTCCATGCTCCCCCCTGGCAGGTTCTCCACAGATGAGGGGCAGTGCTGGCACTCCTACACCTTTGCTCCCCAGCCCATCTTCTTCACGGGTCTGGCCTCAGAGCCCGGGGCCCGGTCCATGACCGTCAGTGTCTGGGGCTTCAGGGGCACCTTCCTGGCCAGGCAGTGGGTCTCCTACACCATTGACTTCAGCCAACTGCTCAGCAGGACCTGTGAGGGGGGGACAAGCAAGGGGTGGGGACAAGCAGGGGATGGGGACAAGCAGGGGATGGGGACAGCCAGGGCTGAGATGGGGAAAGTGGGGAGAGGGAGAACCAGGGGATGGGGACAATGATTTGGGGCAACCAGGGATGGGTGGAATAGGGGATGGGATGGGGACAGTGGAGAGAGGGACAAGTGGGGATGGAGGCAACCAGGGTTGGGGACAAGCAGGAGATGGGTAAAGCCAGGGCTGGGATGGGGACAGTGGAGAGGGACAAGTGGGGATGGGGGCAACCAAGGATGGGGTCAGGGAGGGATGGGTTCAACCAAGGATGGGGACATCAGGAGATGAGGATCAACCAGAGCTGGGAACAGCCTGGGATGAGGACAGGCAGGGATGGTGACATCTGGGGATGGGGACAGAGAGGGGGGGAACAGTGGGGATGGGATGAGGGGGGAGACAGGCAGGGGATGGGGACAAACAGGGCTGGGATGGGTACGGGTGGGGCTGGAGGGAGCAGGGAGGGGG